GGGAGGAGCGAAAGATCCATCCCTCCTCCCCTCTCCTGAATCCACCTATGATATCTCCAAGTTCATTTTTTTCTGGAGTTAGATTATCGGGGCAAACATTCACTGGTGAACTTTAAGCAATCCGACGAGAAAATCCATATCAGCGGCCTCCGGATAATCTAATTCCAGGGAAGGGGGTAAAGATTTTGAAAAAGTGTTTGAATTCAATAAATGAACAGCTATCTCTTTTGTAGGCGACATCAATTGTATCTACAAGCAGTGGAAAAAAGTTCGCGATCGGTATGTTCGGGAGAAGCGAAAAATACGCATGTCTTCAGGAAATGGTGGTGAGATGGAGGAGTCGCAATGGGATCTGTTCCCGCAAATGATCTGGATTGATCCGTATTTGGATGATCGGGCAACGTACTTTTTTAAATCATCAATCATCAGTAGCTTTGTTATTTATTTTAAATGGAACTGTCTAATTGAATTGAGGGGAAAAAATTAACGGGACTCTTATGCATTCGTAGAGTTGAGAGGATATTAAAATAAAACTTAATGAATCTATAAATCATTTGGATATGTTGCTGAGCAACCTGTGTTTCATCCCTTAGCTGTATACACTGACAGAAGAAGCGTGCAAGTGTGAATGAGGAATCGCCGGTGTAGCTTCCTACCCTTCGTTTATGTTTTGAGGATATTTGTGACCATTCAAAACCAAAGTTAAACTACATATGTTAACACATAAAAGATTTCAGGTCTCCGTTCTCTTCCAGCCTCCTAGCCGGGGATATTCTCATTGTTTTTGTCTTTAAAATTTCTGAAACACTTAAAAAAAGACCACGGAAAGAGATGCTGATGCATTTTTTTCACTGAATCCTCGCTGACCGTCGATTGGGAAGGCCCACTGTCCATTATCTGTCTTTGCTAGATCTCAACTTAGCTTTTTTCATGCAGACGCTAAGGCAGTATTTAGTGTATGTTGGATGTTTAGGACGCATTATGGAATACTTAAAGTTTTTCTATAGCTTTTTTTATTCTTTACAGGCAGTATTCGAGAAATGTAAAACGGAAGCGCGACAGCGAAGAGCTGTCGGACGATGGCTACTTGGATGATCTTGCTGATACCCCGCATGGCCAGCATGGTATCTCGCAAAATTCATCACCTTACACCACAGTTTTGCTACCA